CTTTATATAAATAAAGATAGAGTAATATTTTTTTTAGATAAGGGTCAAGAGTATAAGGAATTAAACTAATTAAACATGAGCGATAGGGAAAGAACGACTAGTACCTACCTTAAGATTAATTATTATTGAATAGTATAATGCCTTATTTTTTAAAAGGAGGCAAACGAGCACACACTCCACCTAATGGCAAGTGGATGCTGTGGCCCATAGACATCCTCGATTAAAAATCAAACTTACATGCGTTGTCACTCTAGAGGACTAAGATGCTATACGATACGCAAGGATAATCCATATTAAATTTTTTAAACAATCATACTGGCATCTATAGCTACATCTACTCAACAAAAACTAAATTATATTAAAATCAAATTGTTAAGGTTATATGTTCTCAAAACAAAAACTAAATTTTATGTATAGTATATACTCTACAACGGTATAGTGCCACTAGTTATGTGGCGTAAAATAATTCATCACCGTCGTCCCATTTCATTTAACTGGTGTTGTAACGACGATATAGCGAACTTTCTTCCTTCTTCTTTCTTTTTTTTTCTTCGTCAAGAAACGAACTTACTCCTTTTTAAAAGTCTGGCAACTCACCTGCAATTCCCCCCGTGTTGCAGTTGTTTATGGGTGGACACTTACTATCAGGTAAGCGGCATACTCGTTTGTCCCCTCTTATAAAAAAAAAACAAATTCACAGACTTCACAGCTTCCCATATTATTTATATTTAACATGCCCTTGTCCTCACAATATTTTACATCGCTTCTGTGTAGACCTTCGATGAAAATAGTAATTAGAAACGAATGGAACTCTGGATTCTCGTTACAAGAATGGTAGAGCCATGTTGCAGCTATATTAGTAGCATAGTTGTAGCACAAATGAGTCGGCTCGACCGGGGAAGGACCACGCTCTCACAGAATAACAGTGTAAAATAGCAGCTTAGGTCTGCTGTGTTTTGTATGGTCAGTGTAGAGAACCGGAGAACCCTTTTACTGGAAACGTGGCATTCCATCTTAGTCCTCACATGTTTGATTCGTAATCGAGGATAGATGTATCTAGATATCTATGGGCTAAAGCAACTACTTACCATCAGGTGGACTGTGTGCTCGTTTGCCACGCTTATCCTATAAAAAAAAGCTATCACCTTCCCCTTGAGATTTTATGTAGCAAAAAAATAAGTTTATGAATACATTATCCGTGTAACTAAAATTAATATTATTTTATCTCAGACGTTGCTGGAATGAAGCCAAAATCAAGTCAATTACCTAGGAGCTTGCCTTGACGCTATGCATTCGTTACTCTAATATATAATTATATTTATGTTATCAGTCTGTTATTTCACTACTTTTAAGGTATCAATAATTAAACTTTTAGTAAAATGTAGAACCGATTTCAAAATTTTGAAGAATTTTGTGTAAGACAGGGTGACGTAATATCCCCGAAACTCTTCATCGCTGCTTTGGAAAACGTTTTCAAGCTACTGGAAAGGATACGGTATTAACGTCAATTCAATGCGGTATTAAGTCAATTTGCCGACGATATAATCCTCATGGCAGAATCACTGGAAAACTAAGCACTATGCTTAATGATATCAATAGTGTCTCCTAACGGATAAGTCTTAAGATGAACATGGACAAAACAAAAGTCAAGTGTAATATTCATGTCAGATCTACTCGTCAACAACTTCGAGCACCTGGAAGTTGTTGACGAGTATGTTTACCTGGGACAAATAGTCCGACTAGGTAAGTCCAACTTTGACCGAGGGGTCAATCGACGGATTCAATTCGGCTGGGCAGCGTTCCGGAGATTACGACACATCTTCTCGTCAGGCATACCTCAAAACCTCAAAACAAGATTATTCAACCATTTCGTGTTGCCAGTGATGACCTATGGATCTGAAACGTGATCCTTCACTGCCGGCCATATGAGGAAACTCAAGGTCGCGCAGCGTGCTATGTAGAGAGCTATGCTCGGGGTTTCTCAGCGTGATAGACTTAAAAACGAGAATGTCACGGGGGAGACTAAGGTGTTCAAAATAAAAATGCTCATGCGGAAGTAGTTGAAATATTTTTGGGGTCCATTTTCAACTTTTCAATAGGGTATAGTGTTCCTTCTAAATATCTTATTTTTAAGATTTGATGAATACAAAATTTGACTTCTCTGCGTTTATATTTTCATTTTAAATGTAAGAGATATAACAAACGAATACGACGACATGGCGAGACCATTTTTACGTGTTGTAGAACTAAAGTCTGTGTTAGTAATGCCCAAACCAAAAACCGAGCGTACTAGATCGGCACCGGCACCGGCCCAGTGGTAAAACGGACTCCCGGCACGGGAGTTTTTTTTTATGTGTGTTACCTCATAACTCTTAACTGGGTGAACCGATTTCGATGATTCTGTTTTTATTTGAAAGCTGGTACTTCTCGTGTGGTCCCATTTTTATTTGCAAATCACTAATAGGATATCTATTAGTAGTATAATGGGATACCTATATAATAGGCACTTTCACGGATCGGACATGACTTTTTTATTCATATTGTAGAACTTACTGTTTCTTTGGTATGTTATTGTGCGCGCGTCTGCAAAGGTTTCTGACAAAAAATTTAATACTTGCTTCTTCTAAATTTCCTGCTTATCCACGACAATGCGTGTTTACATACGGCCAGAGTGGTAACAGCCAGGTTGTGCTAGCGTGCTCGGGACATGCTCCAAAGAAGTGATCTGAGGGATTTTCCTGAAAATCTGGTTACAGAAGAACAACTTTAGAGCATCTTAAGACAATATTCCTCTTTATTTTAATAGGATGGGGTGACAAACGAACACACAGTCCACCTGATGGTTAGTGGTTGTTGTGGCCCATAGACATCTACATCTATCCTCGTTTGCGAATCAAAACGCAGATGCGTTATCACCCGTGAGGACTAAGATGGAATGCCTCTTTTCCAGTAAAAAGGGTCTCCGGTTTTCTACATTCACCATACGAAACACAGCAGTGTTAAGCTGCTATTTTACGCTGGTATTCTGTGAGAGCGTGGTTCTTCCCCGTTCGAACCGACCCATTCGTGCTACAAATATACTATTAATATAGCTACAGCATGGCTCTACCACGTATAGATCGTCAACAGGATATGGACAGCCTCATTCTGAGTACACTAACCGATGCAGGTGTTTTACGATTGTCATGGGTGCTTTTACTGATTATTAATTCTAAATTATGATGTACAATTTTCAATATACTTGCGTTCTTTTTACCTCTGCATAAAAATCTCAAATCTCATTCAAAGTCAATGTTCTTATAAAAAAATGGTAGATTATTACTAAATAAAGTTTTCTTTGATATGTACATGTCTTAAAAAAATTGATATACTCTTTGGAATTCATGTGACGTTAAAATGTGCGTATACTATGTGGATGTGTTTATATACAAGCATGTTGTATATAGGAAAGTAATAGGTAGTAACAATGATATTATAAAGGAAGGACATCTTTTTTTATATATAATATCACTGGGTAGTAAGTATAAGTAAAAGTCGTAAAATGATTTTGTGCGTCGTCGTACTTTACTGCATAATAATAAATGTATAAGTTTATTGCGACAGATGTCACCTGCTCTCCACAGCTCCGGCTGCAGTCTCCGTATGGTTTTGTTTCCTGCAAAATTGAAACACGGACTCCGATAGATTGTAACATAAGTATTTGGCTTATCTGGAATGTTCTAAAGTTTAAAATCTACATCGTAGGAGTTCATCTGGGTGGGCGAAAAGCAGTAGTGTTTCGGTCTGAAGGCTTTCATTAGCTCTATTACTCTATATTATGGAGTAATACTACTCTATATTATAGAGTAATAGAGCTAAAGAGCATGCGTCATCGTAGTCCACAGAAATGACAACGCATCTGTACAGTGTTTAACAGTGGTAGAGCCACGCGGCAGCTTTTGCTGCACGGATGGGCCGGCTCGAACCGGGGTGGTACCACGACCTCACAGAAAACCAGCGTGAAGTAGAGGTTTACCTCTGCGTTTCGCTTGGTGAGTGCAGGTGGCCGGAGGCCCTTTTTACTGGAAATGAGGCATTCCATCTTAGTCCTCACGGGTGACAACGCATCTACATTTTGATTTGGAATAGAGGATAGATGTAGATGTCTATGGGCCGCAGCAACCACTTACCATCAGGTGGACTGTGTGTTAGTTTTTCACCCATATTCCATAAAAAAAGCCTTCTTTGTTTGAAGTTGGTTTCAGGTGTCCATGGACTGCAGTCGCGACATACCATCAGGTACGTAGTAAGTTTTTTTGTCACTTTGTTTGAAATATTTTCTGTTATAGACATCATTGCTTCACACTGCCCTCTATATATACAAGTATGCTGAACTGGCTATGCCCTACAAAATGCTTATGCCGATTTGAACGCCCTCAGTAGCCGTACCGGGAACTAAAATTGACATACTATGCCAAAGTGTGTTGTATTATTTATTATTGTTGGTTAGTAGCCGTGGCTTTGTAACCCATGGTAAACGCAGGGCGACATGTGAGTCACTCTACGTTTACTATGGCTGGCCCGAAGTGTAGGGCTGGCGCAAGGTGGCCACTCTGAGTGGGTTTTTCGATTGGATGTGTGTTAGAGGGCTGCGCCTAGAGGAGAGTCCTCTCTCTATATCGCTGCAGCCGAGGTGGAGTCGCAAGGGAAGAGGATTGTTGGTGTGGTAATGCGCCACTGGGCAATCTTCCGCGACTTTGGCGGGACTGTACCACTTGGTGCTGCCGAGTGCTCGGTTTTTCTTGGTTCCATGGCCTCCACATATTGGGTGCGTGCGTTCGTGCGTGCGTGTGTGCTTGTGTGTGTGTGTGTGTTAGTGTGTGTGTGTGTGTGTGTGTAAATTGTTCTTATCGTATGAAAATATGTCGGTCGTATAAGAAATGAATTTTCATTTTAACACTTTTAAATTGTACAGTGGGATTACAAAGTTTAACTAAAGTAAAAAAATTGGTAATCATAACTCACTTTTGGCAAGATGTACCCTTCGCGAGAGCTTCGCAGTCCTCCTTGTTTTGTGGCATGCTGCATCCCGCTGTCTCCGGCAGGAACAACGCCATTGCGCCCCCAATAAAGGCAACGACTGACACTATAATGAGTGGTAGCCCTTCCCATGCTCGTTCCTATCAACAAAGTAGTACGACGACTGTTGTTGTTACAATGTGGCCTTCTACAACTGTTTGCGGCGTCATTTTGGATTGAAGTGAAATATTTGACAAATTTCATACATCGGAAGTTAAATTGTTGGAATAATTTAAAGATTAATCTTTTTTTCTGAAATATTAGTTATATTATATAGTAATTATATTAAATGGCATAAACAATATACGGACATTCTTTGGAAGAATTAAAAATAGATTTACAGAAAAAAATGTGCAAAAATCAAAGAGCACACCACTGACGCTTTGTTTTCTTTGTTGCATACACTAGAAATCCAAATACATTAATTTAAAACCAAACTTTTCAGTGATGATGACCCTGTATAACAAACCTCAGTCTAACCTCATTCCTAACTAGCGGCATCTGGTGAGCGGAAAATTATTAGCCCTAATTAGAGCTTACGTATTGGATAATTACGTAATTTCCTCCTACTTTAAATTACTTTAGTAAGCAATGTAAGTGAAAATTCAAACATACTTAAAGAATTATGAATAATACTATTCGTAAGTTGTTCGTAAGAAGTAGTAGGGTTCGAATCCAAGCCGAACTCGATATTTATACTGCGTGAATTCGTTTGGTGAGTAAGAAGGACAAATCGTTCGTACAACGGGAGAGACCAATGTTCTGCTATGGACTTAAAGAGCTGATGAAAAAGAGAGTCCTGGATTTAAATAAAAACAACCACTCCTCCAGACCGAATTCGGGCCATGGCGGTCAGTCTCAACTGACACCAGCCATCTCCACAAGATAGGATTATAGTGCCCGACTGTATGCCCAAGCACAGAGGTGTACTCTCTACTCCCTCACTCTCATAGTCCGATGGGACAGTAACCAGACACGACTGTAGAGAGATCAAGTTCAGGACCATCGACTTTACGTACTTTCCGAGGCACGGGGTTAAAACATCGCCAACCTCCTGACTTCGCCTACTGAGAATTTTTTGATAGAACAACTCAAGACCTCACGAAATACCATGGAAGTAGGAGCTGGCTTGATCACTGTGTGGTCTCCCTATCAGCCCGGCAAACCATTGTGAATGTAGGGATTTTGGAAGATGTGTTTGTTTCGGATCATCTGCCCATTTATCTGGAATGTAACCTAAACACTGTAAGGCCTAAGCTGTTGATTCATGAAGTGTGGCGTAGTGCAGTGATTTGGGGCGAAAGAGATGAATCTCCGATAAATAGATACCGCAACCTATGTAATAACAGCTTACTGGAGGTCAACTTTCCTCCTGAGTTTGGGAATTGCAGCCATGGGTCATGCAGCTTGGAAAATCACAAGTTAGTTTTGGACAGCTTTTATAAACGTATTGTGGATATTCTGCAAGACGCAGCCGTTCAGACCAAGCCCCAGGTTAGAGATAAACCACGGAGGAACAAGGTCTTGAGTGGGTGGAACAAGCACGTTAGGGAAGCTCACCGGGAGGCCAGGCTTCGTTTCCAAAACTGGGTTTTGCATGGTCGACCTCCTTCTGGCCTAATATATGAGCAAATGTGTGAATCTCGTAAGATCTTTAAAGGCAGACTCAAATGGTGCTTAAATAACCAGGAGCAAATAAAAACGGACCAAATAGCAAAACTAAGAGCGGAAAAGAATTTCAGTAAGTTCTGGAAATCCACAGGGAAACTGAATGTTAGGCCTGGACTCCCGGCGAGTGTCGATAGCAAAAATGATCCGGGGGATATCGCAAATTTGCTCATGGAGCATTTTAAGGTGAGGTCTCCACTTGGTCCATCTGCTACCAAGACTGAGTCTGGGCCCGCCGTGCGCGGGGAGAGACCGTTGCTTTTGTTTACAACCGGCCAAGTAAAGGATGTAATAAAAGGGATGAGCAGAGGAAAGTTTCCCGGTCACGACGGGCTTAGTATGCACCCCTGCATATTACCTCAAATATGCAGGGGTGCATTTACCGAGGGTCCTGTCCCTGTTTTTCAATATGTGCATCAGCCACTCATACTTACCAGCTGATCTAATGAAAACTACTGTTGTGCCCATAGTGAAGAACAGGACAGGAGATATCTCGGATAAGAGAAACTATCGCCCAATCTCCCTCGCTACTACGATAGCTAAGATATTGGATAGTCCGCTTGACTCTTGCTTACAAAATTACTTACACCTACATGATGCGCAGTTCGGTTTCCGGCCCGGACTATCGACTGAAAGCTTAATTTTGAGCCTCAAGCATACTGTGCAATATTACACAGACCGGAGGACTCCTGTTTACGCCTGTTTTCTGGACCTCTCCAAAGCCTTCGATCTCGTCTCATATGATGTACTTTGGAGGAAGATGGAGGACAGGGGTATTCCAGCAGAGATGATCAATATCTTTCAGTATTGGTATGCAAATCAGACCAATCATGTTAAATGGTCAAACAGTCTCTCCGAGTCGTACAGATTGGAGTGCGGAGTGAGGCAGGGAGGGTTATCGTCTCCGAAGCTCTTCAACCTGTATGTTAACGATCTCTTGGTGGAGCTCAGCGGCATGCGTGTTGGATGCCGTGTGAGTGGTGTTAGTATCAATAGCATCAGCTATGCGGATGACATGGTGTTGCTGAGTCCCACTGTGAATGCGATAAGAGAGATGTTGAAGGTCTGCGAGACTTACGCTGCCTCGCATGGTCTCGTATACAACATTGAAAAAAGTCAATACATGGTCTTTAGGGTCGCTGGCAGGTGTCCCGAATCTATCCCTGCAATAAACTTAAATGGATCGGAGCTAAAGCGGGTTTATCAGTTTAAATACCTAGGGCATATTCTTGCCGACGACCTTAAGGATGATCTAGACATAGAGAGAGAGCGTAGGGCTTTGGCGGTGCGCGACAATATGCTGGCTCGTAGATTTGCCCGCTGTTCGGACCAGGTCAAGATAACATTATTTAAAGCGTATTGCCAGGGTCTGTACACGGGTGGTCTGTGGATTAGGTATGCCAAAAAATCGTTAAACACCCTGCGAGTCCAGTACAATAACGTTTTCAGGATGATGTTGGCACTCCCCCGCTTCTGTAGTGCTTCTGGCATGTTTGCACAGACCAGAACTGATGGTTTTCATGCCATAGTTCGGAAAAAAGTAGCGTCGCTGATAGGAAGGATACGGAGAAGTGACAACAGCATCCTGAGAACGGTGGCAGATGATCCGCATGCGCCTATTGTGAGGCACTTCGTGCGAACGATGACTCATACAGAGGATGGTAATTCTTCTAGGTGTCGACCGCACGGAGTGCCTCTCAGGTACATGACAAATTAGAATTTAATTTAATCTAATTTTATTTTGATTTGATTTGATTTGATTAAATTTGAATTAATATGATTTTAGTTTGATGTTATTTAATTCTAATATAATTTAATTAATTTTTTTATAAGTACTAACACTTAGTTTATAAGCGATAATATAATACTAACCCATGGATCTTTGTTGTCTGAAATTAAATGAATTTGAATTTGAATTTGAAATGCAGCTGCTATTACAGCCACTAGATCAACAAGACAGCCCACTCACCGAGTAGACAATGAAGGGTGTGAACACGACGGCCGCGAAGGCGCTGATGTGCACGAGGGACGAGCCCGAGGCGCGGGCCGCAGTCGGCATGAGCTCCGGCGTCCATTGGAGCACCGCGCCGTACGACATGTTCGTGAGGAAGCGCGCCGCGACCGCCAGTGACACGCTCACCGCGCCTTAACACCAACCATACATGTGGACAAAGACTTCTGTGTGATGGGCACTACGGTACTAATAACATTGCGCACTAAGTTACGGTCCATTCTCCGTAACTTCTTTAGTGGACTGCGAGCTGCCGAGAAGACTACTTTTTTTGGACAATCCAACACTGATTTTGTTTAATGTGACTAATTTTGGTTTGAATGTCGATCTAGTAATAGGTATACATAGAAGTGTTTGAATGTGGAGAAACCACTTACAGATCTAACAGCGGATTCACACACCATTGCACACTATGAAAAATGCACTGCTGCCATAGTTACCACGATTGACAACGGGGATTGGTAACCGCTTAAACAGATTTTTTATTTAGCTGTTATGGGGAAGATGCTGCTACCCATCTCCCTGTTCAGCTTTCCTCTATCGCATCTTACGACACCCAGGGGATGATATTGGGTGTGAAAGATGGCGAAACGCATAGCTATTAGGCTTAGAAACGCAGCGGGCGCACGCAAAGTGACGCCATTTCAAGTTAGCCTTTTAAGGCTACGTACCACTTTCGACGCGTCAGGCGTCAGTACTCGAGTCCCCGTAGTCGTGTAAAGAGCTCGCGAAATTTTGCAAAAAAAATCACGTACTATGCTTGAAAGGGTGTCACAACTCATCGCATAATCATGAAAAAAATAAAAAAAATCTCGTTTCACAGGTAAAGTACTGTCTAGCATCTTATATTTTTTTTAAAAACATTCATCAAAACAAAATAATAAATCGTAAATTTGACAGACGCTAATATAATGAAAATGTTGCTAGGCATAATAAAATATTTTACCCCATTTTTTCTTATTATTATAATTATAAGAAAAAAATGCACACTGAAAAAAATACATACATACTGCCAATAGTTCAAATTCATAGTAAAAGATCTATCTCTCAAATGGCTAAGCTCATTGTCCCTTTTTTATTTCCTATAGTAGAAGAGCACATCAATTCACAACATCACGACACAAATCTGACGCGGCTTATTGTGGAAGGTTATCTAAGAGTTAGATAATTAGATTCTTTTATGAACCCAAAAAAGATAATATTTCGCGGATAGTGTCATCAAAGCGGCAGTTGTTTAGAAAACAGTTGCAGTTTCAGGGTAATTAAGTAAGAAATGTTTAGTTTATGTAATACGGTATATTTATTTATATTTTATACTAGCTGTTCTCCGCGACTTCGCCCGCGTGTTATTTGGGGTTTTAATTTTTTCGCGCGGAACCCTAATTCTTTTTCTAAAATAAAAGTTTACCCCTAGGTTACTCCTTGTGACTTCAGCTATCTGCCACTGAAAATCCCGTCAAAATCGGTCCAACCGTTTCGGAGATTAGCCGGAACAAACAGACAGACAGACGGACAGACAGACAGACAGACAGACAGACAAAAACTTAAAAAATTGTATTTTTGTTATTAGTACCGTACATACTTCCATACATAATTAGTAAAAATTTGTAATTTTGACATTACAAACAGACACTTCAATTTTATTTATTTGTATAGATTATTTAATAAATATTTTTAATTTCATGTTTTGTTTGAATAGTTTTTCTCCATCGGAATTTTATTTCGTTAATGCAAAACGTAATATCCATTAAAGTAATAATAATATTCACTTGAAGCTGAACGCACACTAAATTCCTTCTAATATATTCCTTCTGTGAAAGTTGTATGTTGTAACCTTTACGTCAGAACCGATTTAAATTAAATATAGCATGTAGATTCTTAGAATGGCAAGAATCTAAATCAGTATATGCTTTTATCCTGATAAACGCAGGTGAAGCCACGGGCCACATCCACAGCATATGTATAACTAATTAAAAAAATATCTGCCAGCTAAAATGATTATCTGACAACTATTCACTTGTTAAAGTAAGTATAAGTGTCGCTGGATTGGAAAAACTGCAAGAAATGGACGTAGTTATTTGCCTCCTCCATTTCGTCCACTTTTCTTTATATCATGCTCTTGGGCTCTGGAGTATTATATATAGAATAATAATTACAAATAATAAGAATATTCACGTGGACATGTTAAATATGTTAGCTAATGTACTATATAAGATTTTATGGAAGATAAATAACAGATATTTATATAAATATACCACTTCTACGTTTCTATGTCTGAACAAAGTCTTAATAGCGTTATAAGTTATAACATTCTTCTTGTTAATTTCATCTTTTTCAAATCATGGTAACAAGAAGGTGGAAACTGAATGTTTCTGAAGTCTTACGCGTTAAAAAATCTAAATAGTTTACATTTAATACGTTATGTGAGTCGGTTTTCTGAAATAGATGCACGTGGCATATGGTACAAAAAAAGAACTGTGTGAATTCTTTCATTTGGATACTATTGGTCATTCAGCTTAGCTTACGGTTTCAGCTTCAGTGACGAGATTCGGTAGCAAAATAAGCGAATTTTTTACATGATAGAGTCACGCTGCAGCTATATCATGGTTGTCGCGCGAATATGTCGAGTAGGGCCACGCTCTCATAGAACACCAACGTAAAATTATGCTGAGTGTAGAGAATCAGAGACCCTTTTTACTGGAAAAGAGGCATTCCATCTCAGTCCTCAGGGGTGACATTTACATTTTGCTTCTACATTTTGATTCTTCATTGAGGATAGATGTAGATGTCTAAGGGCCGCAGCATCCGCTTGACATCGGGTGGACTGTGTGCTCGTATTTTAACCTTATTCTATAAAAAAAAAACATGCGTGAATGTCGCCGAACACTCAGTTGGAACTAACTCCTTTCGTAGTATGTTATTATTAATAAACGTATTATATTATTGATTAACAAATACAAATAATAAAATATAATAAATGGCGTCTATTAAAAAGGAGCATCATTTAAAATAAAATAATCTGTGGGCACGGCAGTGCCCCGCCAAGTCGAGCAAAAAGCCGCACGGCCGTACCATACCATCCTTTTCTCGAAACAGTTTAGACCATTTTTCACCCCCTATAACTTCGATGTAGATAAAACTGGAAGCCTGAATTTTCAGTCACTAAGCATGCCTTGTATAAACACGGTATATTTCAAATTTTCAATTTGAACTAGTAGTTTAAGAATTATAACTAGTCAAAGTTTCTTAATTTTGTCACTCACTGACTAATCGATCATCAAAACTCTAAGCAGACTTTCAAGCTTCAAATTTAGAAGGCAATTATCAGTGTTTAGGGTATAAATCAAGGAAAAACTAAAATATTTTGTAATTTCGGTTCAGTTCTCTAGATACACCAACTGCATAAATAACTTTATAATCCTATATAAATATATAGGATTACAAAGTTACATTTGCAGTGAATAAATCAGTGTACCTGTATAATATGTATAATATAATGGAATAATAGATGTAGATAGGTACCTAGATATTGCCCAAAAATCCGTAGTTGGTATTCAAGAAGAAGATGGTATTGGAAAGGAAAAAAAGTAGGACTATATACAAAAAGAAATGAGATGCCATCAAAAACATAACTTGTAAATAAAAGCAAGTCTCGCAACTCTGTTCTTCTACCGTAAAAAGTTGTGAGATCCATAGATAGACATAGATTGACTTGGCAATCACACTAAACAATCTAATTTAAAATAATATGTATTACTTGTGAGATACATTGTGTTTTCATGCGATGGCCAAGTCGATCTATTTATTTAAAATATAAAAGATTTTTAATATTGATATGGTCACTATAAGATGTTGGTAGGTTAGCTAATTACGTAATAACTTAAGACAGAAGGATCCTTAAGTAGGGAATAAATTAACCGACTTGGTATTACATGGATCTCATAACGTTTTGCGGTAGACGGTACAAGAACTGAGTTGCGATACTTGGTGTTTTTTTACAAGTTATGTTTTGATGGCATATTTCTTTCATGGTAAGATAAGAAAAAGTGCGGAAACAGAAACAGAAACTTTTTTATTCAATATAGATTATAAATAATACTTATTGAAAGTCACTCTTTTGTTTGATTACCACTGGTTCAGAAAAACCTCTGTCCTGGGAAGAACCAGCAAGAAAACCAGCGGGACTTTTTTTTTAAATAACAGCTTACAATCATGATGTTACACAAATTAACAACACAACAAATTAGAAATAGCTTGGTAGCGATCACCTCATTTCCAGGGATTATTATCATCCATAAATTCCTTAATATTATAATAACCCTTTTTATACAAACTTAGTTTAATAAAGTTTTTGAACTTTGAGCAGGTCAAATTTTGTATATTTTCTGGAATTTTGTTGTAAAAGCGTATACATCGCCCCAAGAATGAATTACTGGCTCGATGGAGTCGAGTAACTGGTACTACTAGCTTGTGTCTGTTCCTAGTATTTACAGAATGAATATCACTTATTTTTGTAAAACTACTTTTATTTTTGTGTACGTACATTACATTTTCATAAATGTTTTGAGAGGCCAAAGTTAATATATTAATTTCCTTAAATTTTTGTCACAACGACTCTTTAGGCTTTAAATCATAAATTGCTCTTATGGCCCTCTTCTGTAAAACAAATATAATTTCAGTGTTAGCTACGTGTCCCCATAGCAAAATACCATACGACATTGTGCTATGGAAATAGCTAAAGTAAACTAGTCTAGCTGTTTCAACACTGGTTAGACTTCTAATCTTTTTTACAGCATATGCTGCAGGACTAAGTCTGCTTGCTAGTTTTGATATATGGGGGCTCCATTGAAGCTTCGCGTCTAGTGTGATTCCAAGAAAAATGGTGGTATCTGCAAGACTCAGTTTCTCCCCATTTAAAATTACATTAGTATTTAATTGTTTGACATTTGGAGTCATGAATTTCATATATTTCGTTTTAGTGCCATTTAAATGCAAATTATTAACATTGAACCAATTTACTAATTTAGATATAGCATTATTTACTTCGTCATATTTTAGTAATTGTCGACTTAATTTGAAAATTAAAGAAGTGTCATCTGCAAATAATACTATATCATGGTTATCCCCTACTATGTAAGATAAGTCATTAATGTATACAAGAAACAGAAAGGGGCCGAGAATTGAACCTTGTAGCACGCCCATTAGTACCATCGATCCGGAAGAGCTCATATTGTTAATGACAACTTTTTGCGTTCTCTTACTTTAATATGAAATAATTAATTTAAGATCATCACTTCTTACACCATAGTGTTGAAGTTTCCTGATTAATGTTTCATGGTGAATCGAAGGCCTTGGATAGGTCACAAAATATACCCAAAGCATCCTGTGAATTCTCCCATGCATTAAAGATATATTTAATCAACTCAACACCGGCATCAGTTGTCGAGCGACCCCTTGTGAAACCAAATTGATTTTTATGAAGTAAATTATTTATATTAAAATAATTTGACATTTGATCAAGAACAATTTTTTCAAAAATCTTACTAAGTGTTGGTAGTACAGAAATAGGTCTAAAATTGGCGGGGTCTAATGTACTACCAGATTATAGAGATAAGAATAAAGGTATTACTTTACTATGCTTCATTAAATCAGGAAACACACCAGATTCAGAAACAGAAACAGAAACTTTTTTATTCAATATAGATTATAAATAATACTTATTGAAAGTCACTCTTTTGTTTGATTACCACTGGTTCGGAAAAAACCTCTGTCCTGGGAAGAACCAGCAAGAAACCCAGCGGGACTTTTTTTTAAATAACAGCTTACAATCATGATGTTACACAAATTAGCAACACAACAAATTAGAAATAGCTTGGTAGCGATCACCTCATTTCCAGGGGTTATTATCATCCATAAATTCCTTAATATTATAATAACCCTTTTTATACAAACTTATTTTAATAAAGTTTTTGAACTTTGAACAGGTCAAACTTTGTATATTTTCTGGAATTTTGTTGTAAAAGCGTATACATCGCCCCAAGAATGAATTACTGACTCGATAGAGTCGAGTAACTGGTACTACTGGTATTCGATACTAGTATTAAAAATAATAGCTAAATGAGGCGCGATTGTATCTATTATAGATGCAATAACGGAAATCACCCACAGATCCGCAGTTTTCTTAACATCAATAGTTTTAAAATATTTTACAATATCTTTTGATGATACTTTATGAAATGTAATTCTTTACATTTCATAAAGTGTCATCTGGATGGATATTATTACATCTCGCTTCTTTATTCGAAGCCAAGGCCGTCTACACTACGTCAGAATGGGTCGTGACAGAAAAAATCTTACACTTTTTCTCGCCTAGCCCTCATCTGCCAAATTCATACCGTCCAGTAACGAACTTAGTTCCAAAAAATCACTGTGATAAAACCCCTTTTTTGAAAATAAAGATTTAAAAAAACGTTTAAGGCATGTAATATATAAGTCAAAGGCTTAACTATTTCAGAAAACCGAATCAAATAAACCGTAATAGTGCGAAACGCTGTAATCTTTAGATCTATATCTGTGGCAGAAACCCAGTTTCTTAACTTATCAATTGTGCTAATCTCTGCTATATAAAATAAGGAGGTCAGAAACAGAACAAAACAACGATAAGGACCGCAGGTACAAATCCTGCATGTAATAAACATTAGTGCTATGGCCTACAAATAATTGCTCCGGGTCTCGATGTTTGTCCTTGTGAAGTTTATTTGTGTAAACTGCCCCCACGATATAGTAGAATATCCTAGTGTGAAGGTAACGTTTTTTTTTAAATAATAACACTTTTACTGTCCGATTTTCAAACACATGAATATGTATACCACTATATGTAGGGCACGGAACAGCGAAAGGGTTAAAGAAAAAGACCAGACTAATGATTAAGTAGGCTGCAGTGGCATATTCGCAACCCACGCTCGCCGTGCTTCTACAACATCGATACACATACTAAATTGATAAAAATATGGTTAAAGGCTTACTATATGAAAAAACTTGAAGTTAGTTTAAGAGAGGGCTATTCTCTGCGTGTGTGATAAAAAACCACGATATCCGCAGAAATATACGAGTAACTGACCCTGCATGTGTTTATACGGGTAAAGCCACACTGCAGCTATATTATGGTTGCAGTACGAATGGATCGGATCGACCGGGGTAATACCACGCTCTCACAGAATACCAGCGTTAAATAGCAGCTTAATGCTGCTTTGTTTCGTATAGTGGGTGTAAAGAACCGGAGATCCTTTTTACTGGAAATGAGGCATTCCAACTTAGCCCTCCCAGGTGAAAACGCATCTGCATTTTTATTATTTATTGAGGATAGATGTGGCACGACTACGGTTCTTACGGAACCACGATTTGATAGATTCGCATAGATCTCGACGAGATACGTCGAAAAGTATGAATAAAATTTTTCGATATCTTGCTTAGTTTCCGAGATAACGATACTCAAAATTAAAAATTAATATTAAAACCGAATCAACACACGCCGACTCCACGTAGTCTTGTCTGCTCTGCTCCTGTGTTTTTGTAAAGCCGTAGGCGCGGAGGGAGAACAGCCCCCACCCGCTGTAGCAAACAGCAGGCACCTGTGCGAGCCGTAGCGGTTAAGGCTGGTCAAAGCGAGATATCGAAAAAATTTATTCTTCTTACTTTTCGGCGTTCGAATCGTGGCGCCGTAGGAACTGTAGAAACCTCATATATGTAGATGTCTATGGGCTACAGTATCCACTTACCAAGAAGTGGGCTATGTGCTCGTTTATCTCCCTTACTCTATAAAAAACAGTTATAATTTTTTTATTTCATTACTATTTACTTACCACGAGGAACAAACGCCGTTATAAAAGCCAAAATGCCTGATAATATTATCGGAGCAAACACGAGTATTCGACGGCCGAATCTGCACATTATAAAAATTAAAACACAATGAGTTGCAATATTTCTTCAAATCCCCTAAAGAATATTAATATCCAATATGATATTACAAATGTGAAAATTTGTAAAGATGTTTCAATGCCTGTATTATAAGAGCATCAAGCACAAACAGATTTTAATTAAATTTGGTACACAGATGATCTGGATAATTTTTACAACGGGAAAATAAAAGTTCATCATCATTAATACAGCCCTTCATAAATCCACTGCTGAACATAGGCTTCTCCCATGGAATGCCACAAAACATCTGTCCTGAGCCACCTGCATCCGTCGAGAACTTGCATATCTTACCAAGTCGTTACTCCATCGGGTGGGGAGAACGCCGTAAACTACGCTTATCTTATATGTCGATTCTTCTAGCCATATGGACGGTACATTGCCACTTCAGCTTACTGCTTTAAACCTACTTAAAATAAAAGTTATATCTGGAAAGTTAAGGTGTTTAAACGTGGGAGAAGCCCCGCACAGAAGCTAGAAAATTGTAAACATTACTAATATTTACGATTAATACAACAGCCACTCTCTTGCTAAGATTTCATCGGTTCCGAAGGTGGGGCTAGAACCAATTCGCATATGCCAGATGTAAAATACCTGGACCTCAGACGAAAATATAATATATTAGTTACTACCTACGTTTTACCACAGGGAATATTATCAAAGAAACGAGATGCTAGAAGCTCCCGCTACGATCTAAACGAGGCGGTGGACCTGCCAAGCGTGGCAAATGTGGCAGGTCCTCCCTACAGTAGAAGAGGTCCAAGTCCATAAAGAAAAATGAATAGTTTATAAAACCCAAAATCTTTAAACTAAAGGCACACCATGTCTTTTCTTTATTTTTATGAACGGAATTTCTCGTGTGTCGTTGAGGCACAAGCTCTAAAAAGCGGAGGAATTATGTATTTGTAGGGTAGAAAAAAACTTACCTCGTGCAATAGGCTGCGCTGTTAAATTAGAAAACATTACACTAGGATTTTCTCCTGTATCTTGAAGGGCGTTTCCATACATAAATTGCTCAAGAAATACATCCAGATCCGGAACAATTATTTGTAGGTCATACAAATACTTGTTCAGTGCGGGATTCGAACCCACAGCCTTCAACGCCGCAACTCATTGCTAAACCACTGCGCCACGGAGCTGTAAAGGCTAACGGGTGTATTCATAATCATTTTTAAACAGTTCATTAGTTAAAAAGTGTTTTGTCACTTTCTAGCAACAAGTATCTCGCAAATGTCAGAATGAGACAAAACACTTTTTAACTAATGAACTGTTTAAAAATGATTATGAATACACCCGTAAGCCTGTACTACCGTGCATTCGGATTAAAATTAAATTTAGTCGAAAAAAAACAAGACTGCTTTTATTTTAGATTAAATGAACAAAGCTCCACTAACCTGTCTAACAATATCACTAGCAAAGCGAGCGATGGTATCTCCGTAGCCGAGGTGATGGTGAATGTGAGGAAGAAATCCAGACCGAGGGTCTCCGACATGCGGATAAGTCCATCAAAAATCACCGCCACCGCCATGAAGGCTATCACCAGGAAACCCAGTATCTTGCGGAGTGACGGTGTCTTCAGGATTACACACAGATTCTCCTCCTCCTCCTTTGTTGTCAACGCAACCAACTAAAGCGAAATATTTGTTAAATGTTTTCTTCCTTTAGGCCTTTCTTATGTTAAATATTTAAATTTAAGTCTTAAAAAACTATACTCGTATAATAACATAGAATAAACATCACATAACTGTAATGATCCTATTGGGAATATAAATTAGTGATTATATACTGTTGGATTACAGTCATGAAATTAATATAATGTCTTCGATTCTTAAATACTCATCAGTCATCACTATGGACGCACTATATAAGGTACTAGGCGATACCCGCTCGCCTCGCTGGGCGCATGATAATATTTTATTACGAAACCGTTTTTTTTTTGTGGGACTATCTTATAATCCGTTCTTAGTGAGCGTCTACATTGCAAAATGAGTAACTATAATAAATTTCAAGAGAATCGAGTGTATCGTTTGAGATATCTCAGATCTCTGAGTCAGTCAATCAGTGGTATTTCGCAAACATATACGCTTATATGTATAGATTTTGTAACATAAATGGCTCACGTGAAGTTTAGCAAGGTAGGTACGTCTATTTTGAGAGCTATTGCAAAGAAATTCTAACTCTAATAGCATTTGTAAATACATTTCTTTTATATATATCAAGCCTGCATTGAGGCAGATAGAGTTTGAATTTATTTCTTGGCATGGCACTTCTACTGACTAAGCTTGAGTTAATGGTGAAATATTGTGGATGCTGTTTGACAAAAACAAAACACAAAGTTCCCGTATGTACATACAAACTAGAGGCAGTACGTGAAATTTGTGAAATAAAGGTTTACAACTATCTAAAGAACACTTCTAACACAAGCATTTATTTTAAGCTTACCAGAAATGGTTAAAGGGAATATTAGTAACGTTTAATAGAATTACTAGCATTTTTATTTAATAATAAAAAAAGACCAAGCTCAACAAATGGCCCTTACACACTTCTTTTGAACACGAAAGGCCTCAACCGAGTTGCCCCAAAACAAGAGATTGTATGAAAGCACTGTGAGGAGACATAGCCGTGGTAAGCGCTCAGTTCTGCTTCAGTAGGCACTGTCAACCGTAGCTGTGTTTATCGCATACGTACTCTATAGTATACGTCTTCCAGTCACAGTGTCTGTCAACCATTAACCCTAAAAATTTTATACAGTTGACTTCTTCAATTTTTGTACTATCATAACAAATGTTAAGTTCAATAGGAGGAGTTCTAAAATTCCTAAATTGTATCATTTTGGCTTTATTTAAGTTTATTTTTAAATTGTTAGTTTTGAGCCATCTAAACATTTTGTCGAGTGTAATAGATATTTCATTTTTATAGAATTTTCTATCCTGACACTTAATAATTACAGTATTATAATCCACAAAAAGAACAGTTTCATGGTCAGTGACGTTTGGAAGATCATTAAAGTATATTAGAAATAAAAAGGGACCTAACACACTTCCCTGTGAGACACGGTATTTTTTATTTTGCAACCGAGATCTGCCTGTAATTTTATTGTCCTTTTGAATTTTAGCAACCTCTATGCACTGCACACGACCAGTCAGATAACTCTCCAGCCAGTCATGTGCTTTTCCCCTGATTCCATATTTTTCAAGCTTATATAGTAATAATTTATTTACTTTAGTCATATCGAGAAAGATCGCACTTACTGGTGCCTTTTCATTAATGGCCTCCGTAATATATTTTATTAAATTAAAGCATGCTAGTGTCGTGTTGCTATTCTTTCTAAACCTAAATTGCTCATGTTTAATAATATTTTGATCGTATTGGTTTTTTTTACACACATAGTCGTAATGTTTTTTCATCGTTACCTTTTCAAGATATTTTTTTTAGATAAAACTGGTATTAAAGTGATCGGACGATAATTATTCATGTCGGTATCCTCTCCCTTAATAAAAATAAGGGCTTAACGATTGATTTTTTTCAAATTTCAGGGAAAGTACCTTCCTCAAGCGACTTGTTTATAATGTTGCTCAAAGTTCCACAAATGTACTTAGCACAGGCTTTGATTATTTTTGTATTTATATTATCTAATCCTACTGAATTAGTATTATCAAATATTTTTATTATATGAATTATTTCACTTTCATCTGTTGGTTTTAAAAATATTGTGTTTAAATAATTGATATTCATAGTTTTATTGATGTCATCTATTTTAAAATTAAAATCATTTGTATAGGTCATGTCTATATAAAAATTATTAAAAGCTTTACTAATGTCACTTGGTTCAGAATATATCTTATTATTATTTAAAATAAGTAGTATCTATTTAGAAGTTTACAATTGTTTTACCAATATTCGCATTTATAACCTCCCAAACTGTCTATATACTTTTTATTTTGTAATTGTAACGATGTATGTATACATTTTTTGAGAATATTGTGATATTTTTTATAATTTTGCTTTTTGTTAGCACCTGTCCGTATATATTTTAAGTATAGTTTTCTTTTTATTACACAACACTTTTTCTATTGGTGAGATTAGCGCGAACGATTAGCGGTACCTACAGACAGACGCAGCGGGGTACTTAATTTATAATATTATGTGAAGACATATAGATTAACATGTGTTTCACAATAAATAAACCATTTACATTGGTAAATTGAGGTTTCTTACAATAAAATCATCCAACACTTTCTGTGGAATTTTTGATTTGTTTATTCTTTCGAACTTTCTCAACAGTTTTACCGCGTCATCTACTCTGCCTTTTGACACCAGCCATCTGAAACATTTTAATATGTTTTAAATACACACTTTATAATTTAATAATACTCTACATAAAGTTATATAAAAACCTTTGTTTCTTCATGAACTCCATTTCAGATCATATTTTTTACTTATCACCTCCCCAAGGATGCCTCTTAAAGGGGCATTCTTATAGACTCTTATATTTGCCATACTTGCCACGCTTGGCAGGCAGGTTGGGAACCGCAGTATTTTTTTCTTTCTAGTTGGAATTCGTAAGACGCTACAAAATTGGAGTTTTCTTATACTGGTTGTTTCAAGTTCGATATTTTGCATTTCACTTGGGATTCCAAATTAGAATAAATTACATTTTAAAGCTATGATGCTGCTTCAAACAATCAGATCTTCAAATCATGATATTTTCTAGCAGTTCGTTTTCCTGTTAGCGTTAGTATTAGAGGCAGCGTCAAAAATACAAAACACACGCTATTGTGATTGTCAATTCAACTGTCAAACATAAAGTTGTGTCTCGCCAACAACGCAAAGTCGGGAATTTGCATTTGGAAAAATCCAAAATTAGGGGCTTTTAGGTGCTAATTAGTTGCCAAATTTAAAAATTAGGTGCTTTAAAATTTTCACCGCAACGAACTGTTGAAATTTGCGTTGCTAGCAAAACGTCTCGCTAGCAACGCAATGAAGTTAGCAAGGATTTACGTGCTGCAAGTATAGGCAATGACAAGGCGCCCCTAATAAAAATAAAGTCGTTATTCAGTACAAAATTCAGGTTTTCTGAAAATCAGAATAGAATCAAAAATGCTTTTAGAAAAAACCCAAATTAGGGGCTTTTTAGGTGCTAATTAAGTACCAAGTTTAAAAATTAGTTGCTCTAAAATTTTAACATACGATTGACATTTGCGTAGTTATTAGATATACGATAAATATTAATAGCAAGGAATTAAGTGCTAATTAAGTGCTGAGCGATTATCGAAACCCGATACAGATTAAGATATTATTCTGGGAATTATGGGGTCCACGACCACAATTACCTTACCATAAGGTATGAACGGCATTTTATTTTCTTTATCAGTGCCTAAAAAATAATTAGCACTTAATCAGCGCTTAATTCCTTGCTATTAATATTTATCGTATATCTATTATCGTCATTGCGTTGCTAGCTATACGTTTTGCTAGCAACGCAAATTTCAACAGTTCGTTGCGGTAAAAATTTTAAAGCACCTAATTTCTAAACTTGGTACCTAATTAGCATCTAAAGAGCCCCTAATTTTGGGTTTTTCTAAATGCAAATTCCTGATTTTGCGTTGCTGGCGATACATAAATCAAACATAATCCTTATCACTATCATCGGTAGGTTTATTTGCGGGTCGAATTAACTGCCAAATGTCAATATACAATATGAAATGAAAACCGAAAAGGGCTTACACAGGTAAGGTAATGACAGTACAAACATAAAATCATCATAATATTAATGATTATATGCAAACTTTTCAAATATGGCGGCTCTGTCGTCAACAAAGAACGCCGTGTAAATTTTCGCATTTAATTAAACATTTTATGTATTAATTTTTATTAATAATTACATGAACTGGACTGAACTGTATCAAAACCATACTGCAGCTATATTAGTAGTATAGTTTGTAGTACGAAACGTATGAGTCGGCTCGACCGGGGAAGGACCACGCTCTCACAGAATACCAGCGTAAAATAGCAGCTTAACGGTGCTGTTTCGTATGGTAGGTGTAGAGAACGGGAAACCTCTTGTGTGTGAAATGAAGCATTTCATCTTAGTCTTCACGGGTGACAACGCATTTGCATTTTGATTCGTAGTCGAGGATAGATGTAGATATCTATGGATCACAGCAACTACTTACCATCAGGTGGACTGTGTGCTCGATTGTCACCCTTATCCTATAAAAAAAAACAAATCACGATATCCAAAATAATAAATCTGATTATCGAAGTTATACAAAATTGTAAATATAACAGTTGGTATACCTGATCCGTGAGGAATATAACGAAATAACTAACAACTACATTTGCGACCTATCTAAGTTGCTACTGTTGGTAAAATCAGAAAACTAACCTGACACTTTCCGGCACCACAAGCGGGGTTAGCACAGCCATGAGCATAGGCAGAGAAGTTGCCAGCATCAGGTAGCGCCAGTCGCTGATCCATAGAGCGAGCCAAGGCAACAACACGCAGCCGCCGCCGAAGTACAGCGCCATGGACATGTTCGCCACAAAGGTGCGGTATCGATTACCTACGTACTCCAGCACTAGCCAGGAGATGCAGAAGGAATAAATTAGTAACTCTTAATCAGTCGCTAAGTCATAATACGGGGATTTTCGCCATAGTTGCTACACTTGGCTGGCAGTTGCAGTGGTAGTTTTGTGTTTTTAGTCCTATCTCTCGGTTTATTTCCCACGGAATGATATGGGGTAGTGGATATTCTACAGACACTACACGCTAGGTGTGAGTATACCATCATATATATCAATGTAAACCATTATACAGTGATAAAGAAGTAGAAAAATTAATAAAATCTTGGTATTACTTTATTTGTTTCCTAATGGCGGTACTAAAATTATTAGTTGACGCATTTAATATGACCACAAATAACAATATTATATCTATTGGTATACTATTAAGCTACTACATGGTATTCAAGTACACTTGAATACCATGTAGACTGTAGTGGTGGTGTAAGAATATTCACTAAACGCATGCACGGTTAATTATTGACGTGAAAACTTCTTTACATAGGCACGTTGGGCGCTTTTGGGATGGGAAAAAAGCACTGAGTTCGCGTGACCATCACGTTCAGATACATATACAGGTGTGTATTTATAAATTTGTTTGTGTTATACATACAGATAATAAATAATTATTATTCTTTTTCATGTAAAACAACGAAATAAATGAAAATGTTATTACTTATTACTACGTAGATAAAAATTGTCTATAATATAAAAATGAATCGCTGAATGTGTTGCTAAGCGCAAATCTCGAGAACAGTTCAACCGATTTCGGTAATTCTTTTTTTATAATATTCCTTGAAGTACGAAGATGGTTCTTACGGAGAGAAAGATTTTAAAAATTGTCTGAAAATGTCTAAAAACAACAGTTTTCCATATTCCCATACAAAAGATTCGTAATAATACTTAAAAGTCAATTGGAACTTTAATACCATTCCATAAAGTTTAAGTGTTAGGGGAGGGGTTCCGGGAAGGCAAAACAATTTTGACGTTAGTATCGTATAAATATTAATGTCAATATTTATACACACTGGCAGATAGCTGATGTTATAAGGAGTAACTTTTATTTTAGGGTTCCGCGCAAAATAACTCCACGCGGGTGAAGTCGCGTGAAACAGCTAGCTTCTAATAAAAAATACTTCCAAAATAATATTTCCTGACAATCCAAAACTAATGTTTACAAGTTGTGAAGCTAAGAAGTTTCCACTTCTGACGTGCAGTCCTACGCCTGACTTTTATATATATATATATATATATGTTTCATTCTGACTTAAATATTATTTCACCTTTTATCGTTCTTTTCCTTTCAGATTTTAGCACCGCCTCTTATATGTCTATCTCTGCTTAGCCTAAAGGTTGACTAGGAAAGAATGCCTTATGGCATTAAGTTCGCCATATGTAGGCTCTTGGTTTTACTTTGTGCATTGAAGTATATATTAATAAATAAATAAATAGTTGCTTAGCTTTTCCAATAGTAGTCTTTACTTCGTGGATATCCACGGAGTATGGAATAGAGAGTGATAGGTTCTCTGACGCCGCCGCCACATATACGGACGGTACTATATTAAAATCTCTTGTCGAAAATGCGATTGAAACTTACCAAGAATATAAATAATCACGAAGCAACTGTCACAGGCCATGCCGACAACAAACCGACAGATTGAGAAATCCCAGAAATTGTTAGTAAACATAGTCGCCACACCACCTACGCAGCCGAGGAGGTTCGCCACTAAAATGTAAGAACTATGTAAACAAATTAATGGGCCTGGTTTGTCAAGCATTAAAAAAATAAGGACAAAAATCATTAATCATGTATAATATATATATATATATATATATATATATATATATATATATATACTAGCTGACCAGGCAGACGTTGTTCTACCCTTTCCGACAACCATGTATCCTAAAAAAATCATTAAATTCACAATAAAAAAATTGAGGGTCACTTATCGGGATAAAAACTATCCTATCTGTCAAGTTGGACCAAACTGCACACATTGTGAAACATTTCATTGAAATCAGTTCAGTAGTTTAGGAGTTCATCGCGGACAAACAATGTGACACGTAATTTTTATATATAAAGATATACAAGGTTATTTTCAAAGAGTAGCCTCAAATATATAAATAATGATATACCGTTATTGAAAGTTGAAGTCTTTGAAAATACGAGTAAATAAGGTTTCTACTTTTATTTGAAACTATCCCAAATTTATTTTGATTTATGGGCAACAACTACGCGTACTATATACTATACTATATGCGTACTATGTACGAATGTGTGCGTACGTAGTAAAATAGTGGGCGTTAGATATATATGAATGACAATTAGTTAAAATAATGCATTACCACGCATTTTGAATTTAAAAGATAAAAAGGACGGAGTGTTTGAGATTTTTTAAATTAATTTTTCTTCACCATTTGCCTATATTACTTATCTGAACCTTCTTTGCAAATTTGGCCGGTTATTGTAAAATAACCCTGTATAATATTTCGATATTCCAAATCACTGCAATTTTACAACTCATATTCAAAGCATAATGTATAATAGGTACTAGGACCGGCAATTTAGAACAAAAGCTGTGTCAAAGATGTGGATCGCGCAGCCGACTAAAGGAATTAGAGCCCGTTGAATAGTACATATACAAATACATATAAGTATTCTACATTATTAAAAGTATTTACAACTAAATATGTTTACTTACAAATAAGCACAGGAAGTCGGCCGTACATATCCGCTAACGTGCCACACAGAATACCACCGAAGATGGAGCCCAAAAAATTGATGGCCTGTGACCACGGAACATAGCTCGATTTCTCACAAACCCATTCCCTCTACAATAAGAAACACACACAGTCTTTTTGTTATTTGTATGATGTATCATGTTGTTATGTAACGATACATAATTTTACCGATATTACACGGATATATATGGATTAGGTATACCTCAAAAGTTGAAAACAAGATTATACAACAAGTGCGTGTTGCCAGTGATGACATATGGATCTGAGACGTGGTCTGTCACAACTGGCCGTATGAGGAAGCTCAAGGTCGCTTAGCGAACTATGGAAAGGGCTTTGCTCGAGGGTTCTCTGCGTGATAAACTTAAAAATGAGGATATCACGGGGGAGGCTTAGGTGTTCAAAATAAAAATATTTCCTCGCTCATGCGGAAGTAGTTGAAATATTTTAAATTAGAATATCCGCAGTAGAACCAGAGTAACCAACATAACCTAATGGATTAATGAGCTGACGTGGCAAAGGGCTGGCCATATAGCTCGAAGAATCGACAACCGATGGGGAAGAAAGACTCTCGAGTGGCAACCTCGTACTGGTAAGTGAGGTGTAGAGCGGCCTTCAACTAGATAGAGTGACGACCTGGTAAGATATGCAGGAAGTCGATGGATGCAGGTGACTTAGGACCATGCGTTGTAGCATTCCTTAGGGGAGGTCACATAGACCTGCAACACTGGCCTTGTGAAGGGCTGTAATAATGACGATGATGATGATACGAATGCCGATTAATCGGCAGTACCAATACATGAGAATTTTTTTTATAAGATAGGGTGACAAACGAACACAGTGGTAGAGCCACACGGCAACTATTGCTATCGCGCGGATGGGCCGGTTCGAACCGGGGTGGTACCACGACCTCACAGAATACCAGCGTGAAGTAGAAGTTTACCTCTCTTTGCTTGGTGAGTGCAGGTAGCCGGAGGCCCTTTTTACTGGAAATGAGGCATTTCATCTTAGTCCTCACGGGTGATAACGCATCTGCATTTTGATTTAGAGGATAGATGTAGATGTCTATGGGCCGCAGCAACCACTTACCATCAGGTGGACTGTGTGCTCGTTTGTCACCATTATCCTATAAAAAAAGACAGTCCACCTGATGGTAAGTGGTTACTGTAGCCCATAGACATCTACATCTATCCTCGTTTGCAAATCAAAATGCAGGTGCGTTGTCACCCGTGAGGACTAAATTGGAATGCCTCTTTTCCAGTAAAAAGGGTCTCCGGTTCTCTACTACGAAACACAGCAGCGTTAAGCCGCTATATTACGCTGGTATTCTGTGAGAGCGTGGTTCTTCCCCGGTCGAGCCGACCCATTCGTGCTACAACTATACCACTAATATAGCTGCAGCATGGCTCTACCACGTATAAAAAGAGAGCAGCGAGCACGTATAGAAATTCCCCTTAAGAGGCTCTACGGGGGAGGCATATGTTCAGCAGTGGGCTTTTACAAGCTGTAAAGGATGGATGGTGGTTTTACAGGTTAATATTATGGGGTATATACGGTGGATTGTTTCCGCAGCCAACTTTCGAATTTTGTATTACGTTATGTGTAGTCCGCGAATCCGCGTAATAAACTCTACTCCGTTGCAGATTGCGATGGTTAGTAACAAAAAGTATACAATTCAAATGCAAACCTCGCTAACTACAGTGGAATACGGTATGTCATCAAATAGGAACTCCCATCCGTTTTTACACGGAACGGTACTTGTGCTTGGATCTGGAGGTAGCAGGGTCTCGAGTACCCTCGTCCAGTTTGCATCGTACATCATACAGTGGTCATATTTTCCCCCATCGGCTGCTCCGGGGATCGACAAACTTCGTCTGAAATGTTTTAAATATAACAATATTTTCCAAAGCTGGCTAGATCATTTGCAGTCTCAGCATAAACACGCCTTACCATAGGACCCACAAAGTAGAGTCTTAATTCAATACTTCTTAGTTATTAATAAACAGAAAATATAGATACCTAACTGGTGGTCATTATTTTTTAAATGTAAACAAACGTAAGTACATATTTTGTTTTCTGATCAGATATAGAGTAAAATGCTGTCCCATTAAAGTCTCATAATTGAAAGGAATGATTGTTAACAATAATCCTGCTTAGATTAATATTATACAATGACAACTTACACATTTAAATTATGGATCTCAAATAAAGATAGTGGGCCGAACGAGATC